ATTGTGTTAAGCCGCTGAGATTTCTGGGTGACCTGAGACAGCAGCAGATGCTCTGCTGCCTAACCCGCCCACTGTGGACGAAGCAGCTTTGGGAAAGCCCGCTGTATATTACTCTTCTGCACTTGGCATTTACTAGCACGGAGGATTGGTTCTGAAGATAGGCTGTATTAGCCAACAGAAATCACTGATTTGGCCTCTCTGGAACATATTTATTTAAATTTCCAAGTGCATTAAACTACTCAAAACTATACATAGTAAATATATTAAATTATTAAGAACACAATTTTCCAAATTTATTAACCCCTTGCAATTCCCCCAAGATCAGGAAGGCTGAATAGCTCTCACTCGTGTAGCAACTCGTATCCTAAACTTTAGCTCTGAGAAACCTTTTCTGCATTGAAAGGTAGAGTGCAGGGTTCAGAACTCTGGCCTCCTCGCTGTTGGTTTCAAACTTCACATAGTTCTCTACTTCTGCCTCACAGACACATAAACACAGGGGCAAGGAGTCCTGCTCCCCTATCATAGTACTGCTTTTGACTACCATGGAATTGAATTTGACCAGGAACCTCTTTTACTCAGAGAAGTATATACCAAAAAAGGATGTTTTGAATACTAGTTTTGTAGTTTCCAATCAACTACGTTCTCCTGTCCTGACAGCCCTGGGGGCCCAGCTGGCGTGGGAGAATGTGAACTTGCAGGGCAGCCAACTGGAACTGCATCTCCAGCGGGGCCAGGAAGCCTGGGCCTGGACTCACGGAAACAAGCAAACAGCTAGGATCGCGTGGGGAGCGTGATGGAAGGGCAACGAACCACAGAGTTTCCGGGCTTTGGCCCGAGAGTGGCTGAAATGACAACCCTTAAAATTAAAGCTGAAGAGAGGAGAAAATAAAGAAAAGGGAGCTGATCAAGTAATGGATGTAGTTGGAATAACCCATTAAGATACAAGGAGGCTGGGCGCAGTGGCTCACGCCTGTAATCCCAGCACTTTGGGAGGCCGAGGTGGGCGGATTGCCTGAGTTCAGGAGTTGGCGACCAGCCTGGGCAACATGGTGAAACTCCGCCTCTACTAAAATACAAAAAATTAGCCGGGTGTGGTGCTGTGGTGGGTGGTGTGCACCTGTAATCCCAGCTACTCGGGAGGCTGAGGCAGGAGAGTTGCTTGAACCGGGGAGGCGGAGGTTGCAGGGAGCTGAGATCACACTATGGCACTGTAGTCTGGGTGACAGAGTGAGAGTGTCTCAAACGACAACAAAAAAGAAAGACACAAGGAAAGATATGAGGTGTGGTGAACAGTGGGGTTTCAGATTTCGGAAGTGGAGAAATATTCAGGGTGATGCCACGTCCTGTGGAGAAACGACGAGTGTGGAGTGTGGAAGTGAGGGGAGGTGAATAGCCCTGAGTCTCAGGAGGCAAAAAACCCAGATGCTACAACACAATGAGGACAATCAGGATGGCAGCAGGGTTTGGGTCAAAGTGGAAAACTGTGAGCCGGGTCGTGAAACGTCCAGCAATTGGAGGGGAGCAGGGCAGTAACGAAAAGGGATAGAACCATGAGATCGCAGGGCCGGACCACAAAGGACAGTGTCCCACAGAGCACAGTGGTCTGACAGGGGAACTGAGAAGCGACCCGGAGGCCCACGGAGTGTGGGAGAAGCAGCAGCTTTTCCTGGAGAGGGCTGCAGACGCCGGTCCTCAGGGTAAGCCAGGTTTCAGTCAGGAGGCAGAGGAGGGTCATGGAGCCTTTCAGAGGGCACACGGGAGCAGTGGAAGGCTGCGTCACGAAGATGAAACGCAGGGCAGCATGGCAACACACACGAAGCATGCGGAAACGTCCAGATCCTCCCACCTGATTTCCATCTACGTGTCTTTTACATATTTAGTACACCCTTTCCAATATTTTTCAAAGTTTTAAAAAAATACTTCAAACTTTTAAACATTATATGCCAGAAACAAGCCTGAAGTCTTTTTTTTTTTGTGAGACAGAGTCTCGCTCTGCAGCCCAGGCTGGAGTGCAGTAGTGTGATCTCAGCTCACTGCAGCCTCTGCCTCCTGGGTCCTGGTTCAAGAAATTCTCCTGCCCCGGCCTCCTGCTGAAGTCTTTTAAAGAAAGGTTCACAACTACAAAATCAAGAAATTCTCTCAAACAATGGTTGACAAACACAACACTTCCCAGCTTGCTATTGTTTGCGTTAATTATTCTTGGCTTGAAGGAATTGAAGGGAGAAGAAAGAGGTGAAGCACACACGACAACTAGAAATAAATACTGGTATTGCTGAAATATTTAATGGTACAAAAAGAGGAACAATCATAGTTCTTTGTCACTCCACTTAGCCATCTTCTTAAAAAAATCACAAGTGAGGCTGGGCACAGTGCCTCACAGCTGTAATTCCAGCACTTTGGGAGGCCCATGCGGGTGGATCACCTGAAGTTGAGAGTTCAAGACCAGCCTGGCCAATGTGGTGAAATCCTGTCTCTACTAAAAATACGAAAGTCAGCCAGTCGTGGTCATGCGCACCTTTAATCCCAGCTGCTGGGGAGACCAAGGCACAAGAATCACTGGAACCTGGGAAGTGGAGGTTGCAGTGAACTGAGATTGTGCCACTGCACTCCAGCCTGGGCGACAGAGGGAAACTCCATCTCACAAAAAAAAGCAATCACAGGTGAACCAAGGGGAGACCTCAACAGTCACAGCTGAAAGGAGCACAGTGTATTTATAGTAGAGACAGATTCTTTGTTACCAAAGTTGAATTGAGACAACAGACTGAGAGAATGTGGAGTGAGATCTTTGCCTCAAGTTGGGTTGGTGCTAGAGCAGGTCCGCGACCAGTTAGGAACGGAGCGGCACAGCAGAAGTGAGGGGCAGGCGTGAGCATTACCGCCTTGAACTCCGCCTCCTGGCAGATCAGTGGTGGCACTAGATCCTCACAGGAGCCCGAATCCTACTGTGAACTGCGCATGTGAGGGATCTAAGGCTGCGTGCTCCTTATGAGAATCTAATGCCTGATGAGCTGAGGGGGAACAGTTTCATCCCACAACCGCCACCCCCCAATCTGTGGAAAAACTGTATTCCACGAAACTGGTCCCTGGTGCCAAAAAGGTTGGGGACCACTGAGCTAGAGAGCTGGGAAAGGGTTAAGAAAGTTGATGCTTTTCCACAGAAAGGCAAATATCGTATGTTCTCACTCATATGTGGGAGCTTAAAAAGTAGATCTCATGACGATACACAGTAGATTAGTGGTTGCCGAAGACCAGGAAGGGGAGGGGGGAAGGGAGAGGAAGGGGAAGAACGGAAATACATGTATCTATTCCCACTGAACTGTATACTTGAAAATCATAAAGATGGTTAAAAAAAGAAAAAAAAAGAAAGAAAAATCAGAATAAGGGCTATAGACTAGATAACAGTCCTTTACCTATATTAATTGCCCTGTGTTTTAAAATAAATTATATTGTGGTCATGTAAGAGAATATTCAGTTTTAGGAAATACACATAAGTCTGTAACTTAGTCTTTTTTTTTTTTTTTTTTTTTTCTTTGAGACGGAGTTTCGCTCTTGTTACCCAGGCTGGAGTGCAATGGCGCGATCTCGGCTCACCGCAACCTCCGCCTCCTGGGTTCAGGCAATTCTCCTGCCTCAGCCTCCTGAGTAGTTGGGATTACAGGCATATGCCACCATGCCCAGCTGATTTTTTGTATTTTTAGTAGAGACGGGGTTTCACCATGTTGACCAGGATGGTCTCGATCTCTCGACCTCGTGATCCACCCGCCTCGGCCTCCCAAAGTGCTGGGATTACAGGCTTGAGCCACCGCGCCCGGCCGTAACTTAGTCTTAGAGTTCAGAAAAGGGAGAGGGAAATAAAATAAATATAGTAAAATGTTAACATTTGGAGGCTCTGGATAAAAAGTGTATGAGAATTTTTTTGCACTATTCTAACTTTCTTGCATGCTTTTGTGATTTAAAAAACTTAAATGTAAAAAAAAAAAAAAAGAAAGAAAGAAAGAAAGAATGAAAGGAAAAGAAAGAAAGTTGATGCTTTTCATAAACTATGGACCCTCTCCCCAGAAGACTGTACCTAAGCTGGTATGAAGAACGTCTCGCTTACCATCTCAAGGGATTGAAAATTCACCAAAGACCATTCTTGAGTCAAGACTAACAGCAAGTGAAGCATAGGAAAGTGGGTCAGAGCAGCCAGTCAGGGAGCTGGTTTCTGAGGAAACAAGGTATTTTGTTTGGGAAAATTCCAGAGGAAAAAAGGAGAGAAGCCGTGGTTTCAGGGTTTAGATGGATTTGAGGATAGCAGTTTTGAACTAGGAGAAGTGAATGGATCAGGGGCCGGAAAGACAGAGACTTCATGACAAATACCTAGCTATGACAGTGATGGGCTACACCTTGAAACGTGGTACAAATATTCATCATTAGGAAATCCAGGAATGAGAGAGTCACACAGGGCAGAGGCAGCATAGAATAAAACATGGCAGGCCAGGAATGGTGGCTCATGTCTGTAATCTCAGAACTTTGGGAGGCTGAGGCAGGGGGATCACTTGAGGCCAGGAGTTCGAGACCAGCCTGGCTCACATGGCGAAGTCTTGTCTCTATTAAAAATATTTAAAAAATTAGCTGGGCATGGTGGCGGTAGTCATAGCTACTCAGGAGGACAAGGCAAGAGAGTCACTTGAACCCTGGAGGTGGAAGTTGCAGTGAGTTGAGATGACAGCCTGGGTGACAGAGAAAGACTCCATCTCAAAAAAAAAAAAAAAAAAATTAAAATTGCCAGTCTGGAGTCAGACCTAGGGTCAGACTTTCACCCTACTCATGTTTAGCTCACTGTTGAGAAGGCTGGCGTCTCTAGGCCTCTCATGGAAAAGAAGAGAGCTCATGGGGTGAGAATTAGCTTAGCTAACAAAAGAATTTTTGTTAAACCTAGCATCCAGTGGCCCAAAGCAAACAGTGGCACATCACATGAGCAGATTTGGAGGATTCCATTCGCTACCCCTTGCTCTTACCGACAACACCAACCGAGGAGATGGGCTGCGCTGATGCTGTTTTCCACGATGCTCCGGAGGGAGATGACCACTTATTTGCTTTCCTTTCAGCTAAGAAAGCATATTGCAGGGCTCTTGCCTGCCCTGATTGCAAAAGGTATTGAAACAGCTCCTCCTCCTTCTTGCTGCCCACTTCATAGGGATACTGCACAGCAGCCTGGACTGCTCGGACACAAGCCTCCTGAGCAAGATACCCAGGGTGCTGCTTCCGCATCTTCAAGAGGGCCTCACTAAAAATGGTGTCCATGTTGGGCAAGCTCGGAATTGGCTTGTTGAAGAGTCTACGGGATTCTAAAGGTTGATCTGAAAGGAATAAGAATGATCAGAGCTCTGGAAATGTTACTTGTCCAAAGAGAATGTGAATATATAATAATAACAATAACCAGTTCAAATTCAAAGCACAAACTAAAGATTATTCATTAAGATATTTAATGTACACTAAACCTATGGACACTAACATCTCTGCTATCTTTGCAACATAATCCTAAAAGATAGAATTTAGCAGATTCAAAGCAATTTTAGGTTACCTAATTTAGGCATAAAAGTTGTATTTTCTTTTTAATCCAAGGCCAAGACAATTTTATAAATAGAGTATTAATTAAATTAATAGATTAAATATTAATTATAATAAAACATAAATTATAATATTAATATAATATATTAAATATTAATGAGTCTAAGGAAAACAGTTCTGAGTTAATATTTTATTAATTTAAAAAATCATTTCAGCTTTTTAGGTTGAGAGCATACATGTGCAGATTGGTTACGTGGGTATATCACATGATGCTGAGGTTTGGGATATGAATGATCCTGTCACCCCAGCAGTGAGCGTGGTACCCAAAAGCTGGTTTTTCAACCCTTGCTGCCCTCCCTCCCTTTCCCTCTAGTAGCCTCTAGCATCTATTGCTGAATGAATATTTTAGATTCAAAATAACCTTAATTCCATTTCTAATAGTAACAAAAACTTTAAAATATCTAGAAAAGAAGATAGTGTGATATTGATGCAAGGAAAGGCATATGTATCAATGGAAGAGAATTGAGATTTCATAAATAAATTCTTACAATTATAGCCAGTGATTTTCAACACAGGTGCCCAAACAATTCAGTGTAAGAAAGGACAGTCTTTCAACAAATGGTGGTGGGATAACTGGATATCCACATGCCAAAAGCAAACAAAAAAAACAAAACTCAGGTCCCTACCTAGTGCCATAGAGAATCAACTGAAAATGGATCACAAATCTAAACTGAAGAACTAATACTACAAAAATTCCTAGAAGAAAATATTAAATTTTCTCAGAACCTTGGGGTTAGGCAAAGTATTCTTAGATATAACACTCAAAGCATAATGTATAAAAGAAATAAGAAATCAGACTTCATAAAAATTAAAGACTTTTGTTCTTCAAAGGATATCATTAAGAAAATGAAATGACAAGCCATACACTAGGAGAAAATATTTGTGTGGTAGTCAGAATAACGCTCCCCACCAAATGTTCATGTCTTAATTCTCAGAACCTGTGAAGGTAATACCTCACGTGGTAAAGAGATTTATAGGTGAGATTAAGATTAAAGACCTTGGCACAATAGCTCACACCTGTAATCCCAGTACTCTGGGAGGCTGAGGCAGGAAGATCGCTTGAGCTCGGGAGGTCAAGACCAACCTGGGCAATATGGTGAAACTCCATCTCTACCAAAAATACAAAAAAATTAGCCAGGCATGATGGCACACCCCTGTGGTGCCAGCTACTCTGGAGGCTGAGGTGGGAGAATAGCTTGAGCCTGAGAGGCTGCAATGAGCCAAGGTTACATGACAGAGTGAGACCCCATCTCAAAAAAAAAAAAAAAAAAAATAGACCTTGAGATGGGGATATCACCCTGCAATATCTGAGTGAGTACAGTCTAGTCATATGAGTCCTTAAAAGCAGAGAACCTGTTCTGCCTATGGTGAGGGGGATTCAACACTCAAGAAGGGTTAGAGAAACGCAACGTGAAAAGAACTCGACCTGTTGGCCCTGATGGAGCTTTGAATGTGAGGAAAAGAGACAGGAACTAAAGAATGCAGTATTCTCCAGAAGCTAGGATCGACCTTCAGTTTACAAGGTCGCAAGTTTGCAGGCAAGAACATGGGGACTTTGGTCCTACAATGCAAAGTACTGACTTCTGCCAACCACCCAAATGAGCAGGAAACAGTTTCTCCCCTAGAGCCTCCAGAAAAGAGTGCACCAGCTGACACCTGGATTTTAGCCCAGGGAGGCTTCTACAATACTTCCAGGCTACAGAAGTGTAAGAAAATAATTGCGTATGATTTAAACTGCTAAGCTTGTGGTAATTTGTCATCACAGCAATAGAAAATGAATACTACTGGCCCATCAAATATCAAATAAATAACTTGTTTCCAGAATATATAATAGACTCTTATGACTTAATAATTAGGCAAACAATGTAATTTCCTAAATGGGCAAAAACTTGAGCAGATATTTCATCAAGGAGTGTGTATGAATGGCTAATATGCACAAGAAAAGATGCTTGACATTATTAGTCATCAAGGAAATGCAAATTAAAACCACAACAAATGTGGGAGACAGCCTCTCTAAGTAATGGGCTGTCATTTCTAGGTTAGGTTACAGAAAGACTCTGGCTTCAGTCTTGCTCATCCTTTCTTGCTCTCTCAAATTGGTCACTCTGATGGAAGCCAGCTGCCCTGTTGTGAGCCACCCTATGGTAAAGCCCATGTGGCACAGAACTGAGGAAAGCTTTCAGCCCCCAGTCAGCAAGGAACGGAGGCCCTCAGTACAACAGCCCATAAGGAACTGGATGCCCCCAGCAACCGCTTGAGCGAGTCTGAAAGCAGATTCTCCCCCTCATTCCCAGTCAGCCCTGAGGTAATCGCAGCCACAGCCAACACTTTGATTGTAGCTTTGTTTGAAATCTGAATGCCAGAGGACCCAGAACACTTGAATTCTGGACCCACAGAAATTGTGAAATAAATGTTTGATTTTAAGCCACTAAGTTTTGGGGTCATTTGTTATGCAGTTAGACTTACTAGAATGACTATAATAAAAAGACATCACTATTGAATGTCGGTGATAATGTAGAGAAACTGGAAGCCTCATGCATTGCTTCTGAGAGAGAAAAACAGCACATTGCTCTGAAAAACAGTTCGTTTCTTAAAAAGATAAACATAAACTTGTTGTCCAACCAAGCAATTTTGCTCCCAGGACTCTACACAAGGGAAATGAAAGCATATGCCAGAAAAAAAAAATCTTGTCCACAAATATTCATGGCAACATTATGTAAAATAGCAAAAACTGGAAACAATCCAAACATCCATCAACTGTTGAATGAATAAAGAACATGTGATAGAGCCATACAATAGAATATTATTCAGTGATAAAAAGGATCAAATTGTTGATACATGCTACAATACAGATGAGCCTCAGTATCATTACGCTAACCAAAAGAAGCCAGATGCAAAACGTTACATATTGTATAATGGCATTTAGATCCAATGTCCAAAAAATTCAAATCTATAGAGACAGAAAGATCAGTGGCTGCCTAGGGCTGGGGATGTGAGTGGAAGTTAGCTGTAATGGACAGAAATAAACTTTTTGTGGTAGTGCGCAAGTCTTAAAATTGATTTATGGGGATGGCTGCACAACTCTATAAGGCAAATCATGCCTCATTAAAGCTGTTAAAGTATATCTAGAAATGAATTTATCAGGAAAGGTACAAGACCTTTCAGAAGATAACTATAACATTTTATTGAAGAACATAAAATAAGACCTTAATAAAAACAGAAAAGCCCCATGCTCCTGGATATAAATATTTAATAGCATAAAAATATCAATATTTTCCATATGTATTACAGATGAAATTTTAATAAGAGTCCTTATGGTACTATTTAAAAAAATAACTTTACAGAATGATTCCAAAGTTTTCATAAATTCATAACAACTTACAGTTACCAAAACTTCAGCTACACTAGAAGTTGTTTTCTAAAATATACTAGCATCTCTTAAAAAATCAAACCATTCTATCAAAAATGCATATCTTAGTTATTTAGACAGACAACCTGCCAGGGCTTATACCAGAGCAATTTCACCATAAAAAGACATATGAGCATGAGCCCATCTGGCTTTGGTGTGTTAAGCGCCTCCAAGGGAAAGTTAAGTAAGGTTTGGAGGTAATCATGCGCACATGGTAATATAGATATATTGTAGCATATGGTAATGTTGGGGTTCAGGGGTTCAGGGGAGCCCTTCGCTCCCCTGAGAGGATGTTTCTCCAAGGGTTTTGGGTCTCCTGCTCTCTCCACAATGAGAGAGGGGACCAGGTGTGCTTGCAAAGTAAATACCAGACCCCAAACAGAGTTCTTGCAGAAAGTGAATTTATTTTCGGTGGAGAAAGGAAAAAAAAGGAGAAGAGAGAAAACTTCTGGGTGGGGCGGGGAGAGGAGAGAGAGAGAGAGAGAGAGAGAGAGAGAGAGAGAGAGACAGAGACAGAGAGACAGAGAGAGAGAGACCATTAAATCTCGCGGATGGAGAGAGATGGGAGGAGGGCATGGCGCTGGGACGTTCTTGCCCTTAAAACTACGCCCGCTTGTGGACCGGAAAGAGAACACCTTCCATCAGCAATAGAGATATATTGTTTAATCTCAACCTCGTTTTTTAACCAAAGAAACAGGAATCTTTTCTTAATGCTTGATTAGTAAGTAGTGTTGGAAAGAATGAGTTTCTAAAGTAATGATTTCCCAAATGATGCTGAGAACAGGATTCAGGAATGGAGAGAAGACAGTGGTTAAAGGCATGTGGTCCCTCACCCTGCTGCTTTGAAGAAACGTGAACTGCATCCAGTAGGCCCACCCATTACTTGCTCAGTTACCCAAAGAGGGAGCCCAGCCCTCAACGTATGGAAAAGCACACCCAGCAGAGAAGAATGGGGACCCCTCCAGGGTCTACAGATGATTTACTTTGCCGGTGGCCTAAAAGGAAGACGAGAATGGACAACGGGGAGAAGAGGGGGCAGACAAGAGTGCGGAGGGGCGGGAGGAGAAGGAAGGCGGGCTGGGCTGCTGGTGCCCGGGGAAGAACGGACGGCCCGTGCAATCTACGCCGCGTAACAGGGCACTGGCAGGGTTGGGAATATCTTAGAGCTGGATCTCTGTTTTGTGATGCTACCTCTGTTCAAGCATTGCTGGAGGTGCTTCTCAACATCATAGCAGACATCAGATTGATTTGAAGATTTGAGAAGTTCAGATGCCCACGTCACACCTCAAAATTAACTGTTGTATTTTTAAAGAATAGTCA